CTTGTTTTTAAAAATATACAGGGGAGGAAAGTAGGTCGAACCCGTCCATTTACAATCAAGGATGTTGATCTCATTGCTGCTGAGGTTGGGTTTGCGTTCTGAGGAATGCGTCAAATCTTGGAATGCACTGGATGATCCATCCTAATGGCATCTTGATATTCTCTCATTCTTACTTTTAGGCTCCTGTGTAATTTACAAATACGAATTATATCACGTTCGCTAAACTTTATCCGATAACCAACATTAGATTTATTCTGGTCAATTAAGCAGATTAGTTTGTTGTGCAAAATCAAAGTTAATTGCTGTTAATGGCTACCGGCGTGAAGAATAATGGAGAATTTAATTTTATACTTACATTTGCAATAGTATATTAATAACATCCTAAAGAAAAGGCTAAGTTTCTTGGAAATCCCCAAATCATAGCAAACAACAACACGTACTGCCAAACTCTTCTTCCCGGATTCGGGTCGATCAGCAGATCGCCAATGCGTGATATTCTGGAATAGTGATATCGTTTCGGAATGTCAGCTCGGCGGTAAACTTGGAAACCTTTCTGACAATTCAGTTTCTTCTCGACTTCGTCCAGAGGAATACCTACGATTCTCATGGTTCATAAGTGAGAGAGAACAACGCGCTTAAAAATATTTTTTACTTCATGACATTTTGCAATCGCGTCAGTCAATATATTTCTACCCTTAGTTCCGTGAGTGAAACATCGTAGCAATACGTAAAACAGCAGTGTGCCTAGCTGCTGGTCATCTGGCGCGTCCTCGGGTTGTTGCAAGAGACCTTCTGCTATGGAGGTGTGCTGCGACAAGTAGGCAGTCACAGACATCGGGCGGTAAACCAGCCTGACGTGGTTAGATTGGAGCCAGAAAAGTTCGATCCTCATAAACAAAGTTTCAGTCTTTAGTGACAGTCTGATGACTAGGCAAAAACGAACTGCCCATTGGAAGAGACAAGGCCGCCGACAATGCCGCCCGTGTCAATGGACTATTTCAACAACAACAAAACAAAACAAAACAGAAATGTCTTACTTGAATTTTCTAATATAATTCTTCCAATGGGACTCGTAAACTGCACCATTCCGGTTGTGTTCACGTATTTATTTATATCGATTGGATGACGTCTGTAGAATCTGTCAATCTGCATCATTCCTACAATGCCGCAATCACTCTCTGCACCATAGTCAGAAATGTTAAACATTGTAACTTAAAGCCTGCGCGAATAAGCGACCCATGTTACATTCTAAGAACTTTAAAGTGAATACAGAGAGAAGTAAGATTTGCCTATAAGAAATAACAAAGACATTTTTTCTACACATCTGCGTAATCATTACGAGAGAGAGAGAGAAAAAAAACAAACATATGGGGTGTGGAAATATATTAATAGATAATCATTAACTATGTCAGACAGGGGAGATTTCCGTAAAACTCACGACACTTGGTCTGCCTGAATCGGAGCAGAAACAACGTTTAAAATAACTTCTCCACTGTGAGCTGTTTGTGATAATCCAGTAATTGCGATGCATATCAAAATCTTATGCTGTCTTTATTCTTGCTCTGTCTCCATCGAACTTCTCAGTCAGGTGGATATCGCTTAATGCATTTCTCTCAGTTTGTACATTTTGGCTATCTGCTGCCGTTTGATATCCTGTTCAAATGTTTAAGCATGCAAGCAATATTGAAAATACGTATGTAAGTAGAAGGTATTACGTTATTACAAAATTATGTCTTCCTGTGTATTTGTAAACGGACTTGGCCACGTGTCTGTCTACCTGTATATCTGTCTATATGTCCATCTATCTATCTGTGTGTACTTATGATTCCATCAGTTAGCACATCCACTGATCAAGCTATTTCTATACTTTTTAGTTCGAATATCTGATTCTTCAGGTGTTTTTCGCATCATTGAAAAAAATGCTAATTACGAATATAAAATACTAATTTAAAAAATTTTAAAACTGAGAAACAGCCATCAAAAATGAACGGCCAGAGGTATAAGCAAGGGCATAAGTTGACCAGTATGATTGAATTTCGCCTTCGCTAAAAAACAAGTTTAGACCGAGCTGTGCTACCTTATAAATAGTTGAAGAGGGCAGTCAAGAAACAGCAATACATCAAAAAGATCTACACAAATATTTCTGACTTCGACATTGGAACCTTTCAAATTCGTATCTGGATCCTAATCGCGGTCTGACGCTTTGAATTCCGTTGGATATCGAGGTTTCAAGGTCACACGAAGAGGGGATAGTGGTTGCATATACCGTGTTTCGACAAAGCGTTTGCAAAACCGAATAAATATTTTGACCGTTCCATGATGACCGAGATGCGGGAGCAGTGAAAACATTGGTTCTCTTCTAAGAATTTGTAGGTTTCTCAAGCAATAAAATGGCAAACTTTCTCATTGGTAATTTTTCTTCCTAATAATGAACATATATTTTAATTGTGCCTTTCAGAAATATTTACCTGAGGTTGTTTGTTTAAAAATACTTGT